AGCTACGTTTCTCTATATTGGCAACAAATCCACTAGTCTGCTGTTTCAAATGTAAACAAGCGATGACCACCATCAAGAAAATTATTAGGCTTCGCGGCACTTAAACAACTTTAAAATTGTTGATAATTCTAAAAATATTACATACAGATTTACTAAAGGTATAAAAACCTTAAGCAGAAAATAAGAACAACATAATGCAATCATTTTTAAAGCAAAAAAAGAACAATTCACAAACATATATGAGTAAAGAAACTGAGATCATTGAGCCCGGTAACAGAGAGGATATATTTATAAATATATTTATATACGTTTGGCGCGGCCGATTGCAACCAAAATACGAGGTCTACCATCTACATGTTATAGTAGTCCTATATGCAATATTTCAACGTTCTGAGGCTACTCGTTTTTGAGTTAATGCGAGATACGTACATACATACGTTCGTACAGACGCCAGGAAAAATTCTCTTCAGAATTCATTTTAAAGCAGTTTTATAATTTTTTTTGGAGGAAAAGTGTATTTTATTTTGTCATTATGTACAGATATCACGCAAAAACATCGTTAAATTGCATTCGAAAGCGGTCCAAATGAATATTTTCGTTGAAGTATGCTGCCTGAAACTTTTCACGATTACAACACTTCCTTTTTAGTTCGTACAAGTAAGTAAAAAGAGAGATTGATAATATATACCAAACTCAATTAACATTGAGGAGATAAAATTTTGGGAACTTAAGGTATCCGACTACGTTCGATACCCTAATTTTGGAAAAGTGTACAAATAAATTCATTTTGGTGTTAATAAGCAGATCGCTGCCTAAAATGATAGAAACAGTTTATAAACATATTATTGAAATATAATTTTTACTTATTTCTCACATTTTGGATCAAAAATGTATTCAAATTTCAGTTCACGAGATTAGTTCCCTCAAAATTATTTATCAATATTTTACTTTTATTTTTTTCACTTATATTTATTAAATCATAAGGAATAAAATGGACTAAAATTTAAGTCATAAACAAATGTCTTTAATGTACCTGTTTGAGTACATACACTAGCTATTTTCGAGAACTTTTCTCTATTATTTACAAATTGTCTGCAAAAATCTTAAATATGTATATAAACCTAAATTTTAGTCCATTTATTCACAATATTCTATAGAATACGTGTGGGAAGATCATAAAAATTGCTATAGTAATATTTTAAGTTACGGTGTTTTTCGTATTAGAAATGCTGACAAAAAAAAAGTTTCTCAAAAAACAAATTTAAAGTTTTATCTTTAGAAAATATATTAGGAATTGATATATTACATTGCTAAAACTGTTCTGTTTTGTATATTACGCCTTCTGTTAACTGCATTTTAGAAGATTTTTGCTTTAAAGAAGCTCTTAATTTTTTTCTTGTGATTTTTGCGGAATGTAAAGGATGCCGTTTTGAATCGACAATTCGAGTTTTATCAATACAGTTATATCCCTTGATAGTATATTGTCCATGTTTCGCCGATATTTTTAACATACCCAAAAATCCATTATTAAACTGTATTACTCCTATATAGGAACCAAGACACAATGTTGTCAACTTAACAAACACTTGTTTTGGTATGATACTTTTGGCATGATACGTTATTAAAACTCTCATTGTTTTGAGTTTCGAAACACACTGGACAGGGTAATGCAGAAAATACAGATTTTAGAATTTCAACATCGAATATTCTATTACCAGCTTCATTACCAGAAACAATATTAGATTCATTATAATTTTCAGAAAATGTTTTATTGTTTCCTAGTTTCGATTCACTGGCAAAAGCTTTCACAGTATATCTGTTTCCAGCAAATCGCCGTTTTTTAGAACGAAAAGTTCCCCACCGACCTATTACTACGTTTACAATAATAAAGTGAAATTATTTTTATCACAATGTTAAAATAACAAAGCAGAATGAGATAAAAAACAATACTGAATAACAGCAAGCGCGCTAAATCAGAGTGTAATCAAATCAGAATGTAAAGACATACGGAAATGTTGTCAAATATGATACTGAAATTTCGAAAGTAATCTTGCTTCCAACCACATAATAATATACATATATTTCAAATCATCTTTTGAATATCGCCAACAGTATTCAAATGAAATATTCTTATTTAGAGCAGTCTGTGTCCCTTAAATATCAACCTCCCGCCATAACAGCCACTTCCGGCATTTTTAACAGCAACTTCCGGTTCATGGTGTAGAACAAAAACAGCCATAACTCTACTTCTAATCACCGGAAAGACAAAACAAAAATAGTTTTTGGACGCTAAAGATATAGCTTTAAATTAAAGTAATAACATTTTTTTTTAACAATTTCTTAAAATTGACGATCAGAACGTAGTCAGATACCTTAAAAACTACTCGTGCAATTTTTACAAAACTTGGTAGTTTGGAGTAATTTGAGTCGTAGAATTGAAATATTAAAAAAAAAAAAAAAAAAAAAAAAAAACGTGATATGTTATTTCAGTAAAAGTCCGATTTTGTGTTAAAATACCTATATTAGAACAACGCTATATATAAATCTAATACATATCCTAAGTCACGCTTTCGAGACATGAAAACCGCAGGTTGAATTTCGTCAATCGGCCCAGTAGAACGGGAGATATAGAACTGTCTCTGTTTTTTCTCCCCCGTACTGTACATTTCTATGCGCTCTATAAAGCACTCTGTAAAACTTTATAATAACACCATAAAAGAATATTATTATATTTTCACGATACATTAGCGATTAGCACATCTTATTCATTCACTCGATATACTAAACTTAATTCAGGACACTGCTGTGAAAAATTGCTTTTGCTTATAGAATTTTATAGCGCTGTTTCAAAAATTATTTTAATTTTAATTAATATGATAATTACAGCTAATCTTCTTTTATATTCATATTTAGCTAAGTAAAAACTATATGTTTTCAAAATAACTGGCAATTTAACATTTAGATTCCGATTGAATAGTCAAATTGACAAAATTTGATTCTTTCTGGAGACAGACTTGCAATAAAAAGTCGACTTAAAAAAGAAAAATAAATTATTAATTATATGTGATTTCTGTATTTATTCATCTGCATTCGTACGTGTGATTTGCAAGCTGAAGAGCCTGAAATCATATTTTGAGGAAAATAATTTGGTGGCTATCATATATCAGTAAGGCAATATTTTCTGTTTATAGAACGCCCGTTTCTCCTAACATTATGAGAACAAAATTATCCCGTTTGTTAACAGGAAACCTTCTCTTATAACCTTTTAAACTAAGCAAAAGTTTAAAAGGTATTAAACCTTTTAAACTAAGCAAAATCTTGATGCGGTTGGAAAGAAAAAATACAGACTATGTTCGATATTTTAAAATAATGTGAAATAAGACAAAATGAAACATACACATAATTTTAAAGATTCGTTCTGCTCTATTCGATGTTGCAAACAGTAAAATTTTGAGAGTTTCAATTTGTTCTTCAAACGATTATATGTGCGAAAAGTTCTGTCAATATCAAATTTTAAAAAATCTTTATAAAATTCATAAAACATCTCTTCATTACATTGTATTCTCAGTGAGCGTATATACAAATTGTGAGCTCGTTCCTTATCAAGGAGCAGTTTAAAAATAAATGGCAGAGTTTTGACGCTAGTGACAAAAACCCTGAACGAGTTAAATAAAGGCTTATAAAAACACAGCTGGTTTCTAATGAAACCAAAATCTGAAGTGGACCTCGCATGTCTTCCTCGTAAGACCTTTTAAATTATACACATTTCTTGCTGCACTTCATTTAAACTCGCTTTCTCGAATTTATTAGAGATTTATTTCTCATTCAATCAGTTCACTTCTCACTGTGCCGCAAAGCAAAAATATATAAAAACTCAAAACAACTTCATTAAAATCTGTAAAGTATAGAAGATACGATAACGCCAAGTACAGGTAAAAAAAAACAATTTTTGCAATTACAGTTTTTACTCCAAAATAACCAACGGAGAAAAAGAGAAAATTTTCGGTGCATCCAGTTTAACGTTAACATTTGAACCCACTGGGCTAAAAAAACATTGGTGCAACAGTGGACTTAATTCACCAAACTTTCAAGTTTCAAATGTCAACAAATAACGACCTCGTAGGCCGAACGCCACTTTAACATTTAAATTGCTGATAATTCTACAACTATTGCAAGCAGATTAACTAGAACCATAAAAATCTTTACCGGAACAAAATAACAACATAATTCAATTACATTTAATGAAACAAATGTACAATTTAACAACATATAAGAATAAGAAACAGAGCTCGCCGAGGCCGGTTAAGAGGGTAGGTGTATATATGTAAGTTTGTAGTGTGTTGTTGCTCACCACCACTAATAGAAACTTAGTAGCTTTTTTTTTGTAATTTTATTGACAGAAAACGCGAACATAATTAACACGAAGATAATATAGAAAAAAATGAACAGAAATAAGATGAAGAAACCAAAATCAGTTCATGACATCATCGAAATGGGGTGGCATCATATAAGAGAAATAGTTGTTATCTTAAGAATTCACATCACGCTGCTTCTGCTTCCATCTCTCGGCTCAATGGCTGAATAGCCTGAATCCTTTCACACAGCTTGAAGAACGATCTAATTGTTGAGGACGTTGCCATTCGTACACGAAAAAAGGACTTTGTGCCCACATAAGTAAACTTATATTTATAAACGTAGATGTGTAAGGGAGAGGCTGAAAACGTATATATACAAACCTCTCGTAGCGCTCTCCCTTCTAAATATCCGTTTGGTGAGCAGAGTCCAACAAAAACGCGAGGTGAACAACTAGATGTTATAGCAATCCTATGTACAAATAAAAGGTCTTATATAAAGCTTTTAGTTTAGTTACAGTGTAATTCATGTGACGTTTATTCCCCAAACAATTATACTATTTAAATATGAAATATATATATATGTACCGATACTCTGTATGAATGTGAATTTCTGTATTTGTTTCTGTCTTTTTTCCTTTTCTGAAGATCTGTGAAAAGATTTGAGGATTACAGAAGCCAATACCGTGATAACTTGCTGAAAGACTACATGGAGAAATATGAAGATTTGAAATAGATTTTCCATTGCATCTCAGGTAAGCTATTTTGAACAAAATTCTCCTAACGTAGTAAAACAGAGTTTGAACGTTTGCAAAAGTTCAGTTTATCAGTTAATATTCTGCAAAACGTTGTAGAACTTTGTAACAGTTTGAAAAACGTTGAGTAAAATATTCGAGGAAATTAGTAAAATTTGGATATATCTAATCACAGTAACTAATCATAGTAGTAAATGATATGCATTTGATGTCATGGAAGTCAAGTTGGATTCGGGAACGATCAAAATGAACATTTCCGTTGAAATCAGAAACCCGAAATTTTCGCGATGATAATAATTCCTTTATTTTGTGGGCCAACCAGCGGACGAGCGATAAAGTCGCTGAACACTGGTAGTTCGGGCCGAGGTTCCAATCCAGCGAACGGGCTGGCTGCATGGGCGTTTTTGTGGTTTTCCCCATGAGTAACGTGTATACGAGCCAGTTTCCCTTAGAATGTCCTCCACGAAGGCATTCCTCCCCTTAGGCAGATAGCCCTCGCGTGCTTTGCCATAATTAAATACACACCATACCTTTAATTTGTACATGGAAATAAAGTATGATATTGATCAATATTTTTTCACATTTACGTGCGTGGAAATTCTGTTAATATCAAAAAATTTTATTTGAATGATATTTTAATTTTAGTCGCATACAGTTGCAAAAATGTAGCTCTTCAGTTTATGTGCGGCCTTTGCGTATTACTGCCATCTTTAATTTCAATATCTCAGGTAGTTTTTCCCGCGCGAGATTCGCTCTTTTTGAGTTTTACTTTTTTTTATTATGAATATAGGATTTATCTAAATATAAATATACGAGCAGGAGAAACGCATAAAGGCCTCATTTCTACAAAACTGGTTTCCACAAAGCCCATAAATTTTACAAAATTAATTTCTTTAAATTTACAAATGCCAATATATGAATATTCAAGTCATTCAAAACATTTTTTGTATTTGGAAATACATATCTACGACCAATTGTTAGTGAAAATAAACGCCGGGTAACGACTTCTGTGGATACCTTGTTTATTGCTTCATTCAGTAGTATATTATGCAAGTTCTTGATTTTGTTTCAGTTTAGCAGATGATGTTTCACCTGCTAGTTTCGCAGGTGACCGCTGGACCTCCCATTGCATTTCCATAAGGACATTTTAGTTGATGTTTAGACATTTAGGTAGAATTGCTAATCGTGTTTAAAAAAGTAATGTATGTTTCCTAAATGGACAATCTGTCCTGTCAGCTGAAATAAGTATATTTCAGAAGGTAATATATGTACGTGATTATTTAACTCAGTGTTTCCATTCTCTTTCTATGCGTAATTTGCCGATTAAATTACACTATATATGTCATTTGCTTATCAGTTTTACATAGTGTTTGCTCTTATCCACGGTAAGTCTTGAAAACATGCTATCAACAGCATTATTGCAACTGAATTATAAAAGAACTAAAGCTACACCTCTATTTTACAAAATTGATAATTTTTGGTGATAGTACATCATAATTTTTTATGACGAAAACAAACATCACAATCATAAAAACAAAAATAAATAATAAACATCATAATCAAAATAAAACATCGTAATCAAAATAAAACATCATAATCATTTTTTGTTGATAAACAGTGTAGAGTCATTAGGTTAATTGGAAGCAGAAAAGATGAAAAATATGCAACCGCCTTCGCCGGGAATCGAACCAATGACCTCTGGAATACCGGCCCAGTCTGCTACCGTTACACTACGAAGGCACGCTAGGGAAGTAGGAGAAATACCTTATAACAGCACCCCTGTTCTCTTCAAGGCATAGCTGTATTTATTATGCAATGTATAATGATACTACTTTTAAAGTATTGCTTGTACATAAAAAAAGTATAGTATATTCGGATACATTCTTTAGATATGAAAGTTTCTTCCGTTTCATTGCTATATTTCTATAGCACACGACAACTAGTATTAAGTATTTTTTAACATATTATGCAAGAGTGGAAGAGGTGCGTGTTTGCAATGATTAATAAAAAAGTATTTTTATTAAATAAATCTAATAAACAATGCATGTTTACTTTCGACGGAATAATTTTAATATTTGCTAAAGAATATTTGAGTGTTTAAACTTAATGTTTCGGAGAAATACACATGAAAAAACAGGACATCTGATATGTCGTGCATTTAATACAGTTAAAGCGTTTAAGTTTACTGTCCTCTATTTAGCACAGCTTTCTAAAAGATTCATAAGTTAGAATAACTATGAAATCTTTATTTAGCAAGTTAGAGAATTTACATAATTTAAGTATAACACAAATCAAAGTTAACAGTTTTCACAAACATTTAATGAAGTGTGAAAAATAAAGACAAGATTCTTAATAAGGTTAAATCTTGTCTTACCTTTCGCAATATTATTAAATGTAATTTGCAAAAGAAGGTAACTAGCTGAAAAAAAAAGAATGAAGCTCAGTGCGCAGCACAAAATCTTTTTAGACTTCTGCATCAAAAACCATAGGTAAACCTCTCTCGCCAATATATTATTTGACTACGTTTTTTTTGGCGCTGCCAAGCTTCAGTATGTAAATGTGACACTAATGTATTCTAAAAACATCGTTATCTTGCTTTTTTTTTAACGCAAGGGTTAAATATATTATATTTTAAATATATTAATCTACTCATATATTTTGACTACATCAGCTATATAATTAACTTCATTGGCAGATGCATGCTGAATCACCTAAAATGAAATTGGGATGTTTTTTCACTGGATCCCTTCGAACGAAATGATTGCTATTATGTTTCTTTCTACTCAGATTTTGACTACATCAGCTATATAATTACTTCATTGCAGATGCATGCTGGAATCACCTAAAATGAAATTGGGATGTTTTTTCACTGGATCCCTTCGAACGAAAGTGATTGCTATTATGTTTCTTGCCAGGTGAAGAAAAATAAATTCCTTTGCCTCAATCTACTTTATTAGAAAACGAATAAAAAAAGAAATCACCATACTAAAAATCGTATTAACTCAGCTTCTACTTAGTGAAGAAAGGTTTGTTGTGATAAAATCTTCATCATAATTAAAATTAGTTCAAACAAAAATTAGTTCAAAAAACATTACATTTGCATAATTTCTGATTATATTTTTTAATATCTACTTCTAATTAATTTTGTGTCTCTCTTTTAATTTTGTGTTCTCTTAATTTTGTGTCTCTTGTCTTGAAAGAATTAGTTTTATACTTTAGATCAAACTTTTTTTCCAACACGTGAAAAGATTAAATATGCTTGCAACTTTATCTGTGTGCGACAGAACATAAATGCTATAAACTGTTCTGAAAAATGCCTCTTCAAATTCACATTAACATTCTGTTTAACATCTAAAAGAAAACTGTTAGAGCGGAAATGTGAGGAAAGGATTTCCATATTTAATATCCATTCAAATTATGCTCAAAGTTACTACTTAGATGAATTTTCGTTTACATAGAATTTTCCAAAACAATAATTAAATGACACCGTTATGTTTTTAAACTTTTTTTAAATATTCAGTACGATATTGCTTGGGTTTGCTGCGCATAAATTAATATCTTTTACTGTCATAATTAAGGTTTCATAATATAATTTATTAAAAAAGCATTACATTTTTTCATATTAATATAAAATTTATCCGATTGCGAATTTTATATGACAAAATGAACTGTAAAAGTTAAGGAATGATGGAAAGATTTTTAAAGTAAGCAGTAGATTGCAGGTTTTATTTTAATTCAACTTCTAGGCACAGGTATTAAAATTTTTATTTCTTTTTCCATAGGTTTCGCGGAAGAGAAAGAAGATAACACGATTCCATGAAATCAATTATATTATTTCATGTTATTCACTACGTATTTCATAAAGGCAATCATACTCTTTTGGAATGAAATATTTTGATGAAATCATAAAATACCACTGAAATCTTTGAAATAAAAAATGTGAAACTTCTGAAACCGTCATATTTATTTCTCTTTATAGCTTTAAATCATTACATTGTTTAAATTTTGTTGACTCAGTACATCACATATAAACAATTATCTACACAATAAACTAGTATTCATAACGAATACTGCTGAAATTTATGGCGCACCACATTTAAAGCAACTGAAGGAAGATATTGTCATATTTATGTTCATACTACATAACTGTATATGGTAATCATAATAAATAAAATTTTTATCTAAAGCTTAAAATGTTTACAGAGTTCTAGATTACATACGAATACATTTAACAGTAAAACCAGAAGGCTTATTTAAATTGTAGAAATTTAACATCATAACAATGCATAAAGATTCACAATTTTTTCTTAACAGTTTTAATTAGATAAAGCAATAATCCGTCAGATGCTTTCAATAGAAATAACATTTCGATAATTAAAAAGCGTACATTCACTAAGGTGAAGTAAAAGTCTATTGATTTAATTTCTTTTGCACTGAATATATCCGTGTCCAAAAGGTTGCTGTGATTCGTTTTTTAATTTCGCAGCCTCTGGTCGTAGATGCATGCATTCAATTAAAAATTTTTAAATAGCGCAAATTTTTATGTTTTAAAATTTTTTAATTTAATAATTCAGTTTTGGAGAATTAGGGCAAATATTTTTATTTGGTTCACTGGTGACCACATTAATGTATTTCAGTGATGTTCTCTTTTGGGATATAAAAATGCGTGATGTTCGTTCACTTCTAATTGTATTGTATGTAGGATTCGGAAATAATATTCACAGTAATTTATAAATTTTCATACATTAAAAATACGTTATTTATATTATCATGCAGTTTGGTTTTTCGTTATTATTACAATCAGTTAAGAATTAATATTTTTACTTAAGAACAAAGCCAAAAAATCGTTTATGGACACCACATAACTTCCTTGTATGTCTTACTAAATTACACACATATTTTGCTGTATTTTAATTAAACTTACTTTCTAGAATTTCATTAGAAATATATTTCTCATTCAATTAATTCAGTTCTCACCCGCGACAAGGCAAAAATACATAAAATACCAAATATTCCTTACTTAAAATTGAAAAAATATAGAAAACTATCAAGCAACAAATAATATTAAAACAGTTTAAAATATTATAATTAAAATTAGAGTTTCAGGCGATTCTGCCAGCGTGCAAGGAAGCACGATTTTTCGGTGCACAATACTGAAATTTTACTTTTGGTCCCAATTAGCGAAAATACACTGAAGGTACAGAAACAAACTTCATTCACTATTCTACTAAGTTTCAAGTGTAAACAAATATGGCCCCCATGGTAAAAAATAGACTTAGCCAATTTAAACAAATCTTACACTGTTGATTATTCTACAACTATTGCATGCAGATTAACTAAAAACATAAAAACCTTAACCGTCAGATAAGAAAAACATAATTTAATCATTTTTAAAGCAAAAAATGCACAATTTACCAACACATAAGAATAAGAAAAGACTGAGCTAACGGAGCCGAGTAACAGAGGAGGTACATACTTGTATATATATTTATATACTTTTAGTGCAGCCGATTGCAACCACAAAGGGAGGGAGGTCTGTATTGCATTAAAACGGATATCATGAGAGACATAAGCCTTAGGAAAAAAGAATGGAATTGGGACTTTTTTATATTTATACATTAAAAATATTCTAAGCCAAGGACTGGCGTTATGTAAAAAATGTTTGCTGCAACATATGCAAAAAAGAAATCTTTGAAGGTTTTAAGAAAAGATCCTTAACGCTTTTAATTCACTGCGCCGTGAGTAATATTGTTAGACTGATACTTTTCCAACATCATGAAATATTCAGAAGAAAGAAATGAACACATTATGCTAATAAGCAAAAATGGGAAAAATGAAAACTATGAGTGCTTAAAAAGGTAAAATAATGCTAATATTAAACACTAAAGAGGTAGGAAGAAAAGCTGAATTATGTAAAATTAATTTTTTAAAATAATGGAGCATGTATTACTCTTCGAAATAATATTAGAATAATGAACACATTGTATTACACCATGAAAACGGTAATAAGACTGATTATAAAAAAATAGAATTTACTCTAGAATACTCTCTTCTATGCTTTGTTTTACTTTGGTTTGCTATGATCTTCGCTGGCGAGAAATTTGACAATCCGAACAGATCAAAATATTTTTATTCATCTTTCATGAGGTTTTGCAAATAGCCGTTTTCAAAATGTAGCATTCGGAAAAACATAAAATTTCTTAACGTATTGCTTATATTAAATCAATCTGTCTTCAAAAATGCATAACTATTTAATTGAAATAAATGCTTATTTTAAGACATTTTTAATAATAATGTAGTCCCCATTTGCCGAATGAACCAGACCGCAATGTAAACCATTCTGAACTCTGATACAAATGTCTGTTGTATTTCCATTGTTCTTTTCATGTATAACAAAATTATGAGCCATTTTACTTACATTACATGCTTTACACGAAATTATCATATGCATGATCCGATTTAAGAACTGGAAGTCAGTAACAAAACCCCTTTCAAAGAGCAAATTCTCTAATTATTTTTCGGCGTAATAGATTTAACTGATAAAAGTGTTTCTTAAAACAACCTAATAGCTCAGGCAATTTTCCATTTAGTAAGTTAAACAAATATGTACTGAAAACTAAATATTAATCTTAGAATTTTGCATGAACTTTTAATTGTACATTTTTATAGCCTCGAATTTAAAAACACGTACAAATTTTACATTTAAATAACATAGAAGGATTAGAAAGTTTTTTGACCCTACAGACTTGAGGCACCTACCCATTGCTGATATTGCCCCTTTGTAAATAAGGCTCTTATCCCATTGCTGATAATGGACTAAAATATCCTAAATATTATCAGTGGACTGTAATAAAATTCAAATATCAAATGAATTTAACTTGCTTGGAAATTAATTAAACTCAGTAGATTTCAATTGAATAGGCATGAATTAAAGTAAAGTAGGTAATAAACTAACCTTCTCAGAATATGAATAACAATCGAATCAAATAAATTCTATGCTAAAGAATTTACTTCAACCCACGTTTTTGATTCATACATATTAGCTTTCAAAGTATACAAACAATCTGAACCCGAAAGTGCAAATATAACTTTGTTCCAAATACATAAATTTAGAGCAAACTTTGTTCCAAATACATAAATGGTTTTTTTTTTTTTTTTTCTTTTTTTTTTTTTTTTTGAAAAATGCAATAATAAACCGTAAGGAAATTAATAAAGCAGAGTAATTTTAGAAAAAAAAAAGCTCTTTAAAAACATATCCCGAGGTGCCATCCAGCGACATAATTTAAAGCTAGATATTTTAATCTTAGGATCAAGCAGCATTTCCCCCCTGGAGTAAAAAGTCACTTTAGATATGGGACACTGAACTTTTGAATCTTGTCCAAATGATTGCCACTCGCACTTGCTGATTGGGTCTTGGATTTTGGTTGATTGAGACTTTGTTGATTAGGTGCGAATAATCCTACACATTCTTCAGTTAAGAGGTGGAGACTCATCATGAATGATAAAAAGATCATTTCATAGGAAATACAGTTTAGGTCTATTCTGCAAATGAAGTAAATAAAATGTTACCTATCGTTCCCAGAATTCCTGCTTTATTCATTGAATAGGTTCCATCGAGAAGACACGGTAATATTTCTTGATTGTCTACTTTCAGGAATTTCTAAAAGAAGGACTCCAGTGAAGAAATACTCTAGGGTAAGTACTCCGACATTTCAAGGATCTGAAGAAAGGGGATTTAAAGTTCTAGAATTTAAATAAGATTTAGTTTGATATGGTAGAGTACTTAATTTTCCGAAACTGAGAACCCTCGTTTTAGATACATTAAGTAACCGATTTTTGGTAAACTTAACATCTGTCTTCCAAAACATACCAAAGTGAGGAGAGTAAGACAGAATAAAATACCAATTAATGAAGCATATTAATTTTAGTAATAAATAAAACGTACGCTTGTAGACACATTAGGTTTTTGTGGAAGCAGGCAAGATGAAAAATTAGCAACGCCTTCGCCGGGAAACGAACCACGGACCTCTGGATACGCTCTCAGCGTGCAGAATTCTACACCACGAAGGCATGCCAAGAAGGTGGGAGAAATACCTTATATGCTCCCCCTTTTTATAGGGAGATTGGGGTTTTTAGAGGAACCAATCGCCAAATTATGTATGTGAAGAATCATCATCCAACACCCTTTTACTTTTGGGCGCCACTGTAGAGACATTAGGTATTTTTGGAAGCTGGCAAGATGAAAAATGAGCAACGCCTTCGCCGGGAATCGAACCATGGACTTCTGGGTACGCGTCTAGCGTGCAGACTACCACACTTTGAAGGTATGCCAGGAAAACGGGAGAAATACCTTAACGTTAAAAAAAGAAAAATGTACGGAGCTGTCATTTAGTGTGACGTTAGAAACATAAATCAAATATCTAACTAATGCAAACTCCCCTTGAAGTATTCTTGGCTGGTTAATTATATATATTCTGATAATCATATATAACCATAAAACTACTAATTAAAAACAACCCACCAACCAAAAGTGGATGTCCTATTTATATGGAAAATAAATCCAGGAACTCGAATCTAAAAAAGCTGATCAGCTTTTTTACACTTACACACATTTAAAAGTGCTTGAATACGGGGAGGTAAAATAAACTGTTAACCGGAAGGAGACGTTCTATTTATGTAGAAAATAAATCCAGGCACTTGGATCTAAAAAGCTAATCTCCAAGGTACGTTTAAAAATGTCTGAATGCGGGGAGGCAAAATAAACTTTTTATTATAAATTAAAGATTGTATAAATTAAAATGTTGCAAAGAGTTTTATGGGATAACAGTGTTCTTTGTTCTCAATTTCTAAAATGAAGGAGACTTATTATTAACAAGTATTTAAATTTATTATGAAAGTTCTAGGTGTCAGCTAAAGAAATGGAAAGTGATAATTTTTATTAGTTA